TCTTCAGAGTTTCTAAGTTCCTTCCTATCCCTTTCTTCCCATGACCCTCGGGGTGGTAGCTATTTTCTACTAAGCTGCATTAGTTTTGTCTTTTTTTTTTACTCCTTTTAGTAACAAATCTTCTACATGGTTAACAATTGTTTATATTAAATTTTTCCTGTTTACATTTCCCCTCATTGGACTCTGAATGATATACCAGGTGATCATAATTAACACCACCATGAAAGGCAGATGACATTGTGTACCTTCTGATATCATGCCCCGAGGACACATGACACAGGAAGTGTTCCAGTCACCTGGAATGCAAAACCTAATCTTACGCAATTAGATGGATAAACCCCAAATAAGCATCATTTAAAAGAGACTACGTTCTTCTAAAATGTCTATGTCATAAGTGACAAAACTATGGAAATGCTCCAGATTAAAGGAGAACAAAGAGACCTGACAACTATCCATAACACCTAATCATAGACTGGATCCAGAACTGCAGGAGAAAAAAATGCTTACAGGACATATGAGATCAATTTGAATACGAATGATAAAGTATTATACCAGTGTTAAATGTACTGAATTTGATAACTGTACTGTTGTTGTCAGATTATTTTTAGGAAATGCCCACTGAAGTACTAGGCGTAAAGGGCCATGGGATACATGCAGAAAGACAGTGCACATACAAGATCACAAATGACAAATCAAATGGGACAAAATGTTAATAGCTGAATCTAAGTAAAGGACGTTTGGGCCTTATATGTAAAATTCTATTCTTGCAACTTTAAGTTTGAAATTATTTCCAAAGAAAATAAACTTTTAAAAAAAGGCAATAGGATATAGCAGTGGTTCTCAGACTTCACTGCACTCTGGAAATACCCCAGGCCACTTTGGAGGTTTTGAGACCCAGACATCTGCCGTTCTCAAAGTTCCCCAGGTGATTCCTAAGTGCAGACAAGGGTGAGAAACACTAACACAGTGGGAGAGCGCAACCATTAAATTCAGACATAACAAGTGGCTCTTTTGCCCTCTAAAGAGTAAGTACTGGGGAGCAGGGTGTCAGGGTAATAGAGACTTCTCTTCTCAGTTCCATGTGGTATGGCAGACACTCTGAAGACGTTACGCAGGTAAGTTCAATTTGTTATGTCCCTGGCCAACATGGACAGATTTCCCATCCAGCAGCTCCCAGGCAGAGGAAAAAAGCATTTACAGGACTATGCCAGGAATTACACACAATTTAAAGCCGGCAGGAACGAGAATGATTCAATAAGCCCCAGAGTGACCATCCTCCATCTTTTTTGCTTCACTGCTACCATAATTTGGGTCTTCAGAACACAAGAGAGGAAGCTGCTCTTTCACCAGACAGGGAGGAATGAGTGAAGGAGGGGTGTTTGCAATTAGTCTATTGGACAAGTTCAAAGAATGGGCTAGAAATTGGCATACTTTCCCCAAGCACTTTCCTATTCAGAGGCTCAATTCTGTCACGCAGAAATCACTGAAGGCAACCAATATCACAGTCCAGATACTGCTCACCTCAGCTCCAACCTGTGAAAGGTAGCCACAGTTTTCAAAAACTGGAAGCGGGTAGGGGAGAAACAATGTTGGGTGGGGAAGGTGATTGTGAAAGGTCATGAGACTAAGCAAAACATTCTTGCCCAACATGCAAGAGGTACAGACAAAAGAGGTAGGGTGGGTCAATGGAACAGCAAATCTCCTAAAGTTCTCTGAAATCATGAATGTTTTAACTTCTACTCTGAACATGAGTTAGTGTTTACTCATCTTTCTCACATCTTCAACATTTTCAGGCAGGACAGACTGGCACAATATTCCAGTACCTCAAAACTGACATGTCCAAAACTGAATGTGAACTCATGCCTCTAGATGTGTCCTCACCTGCTCCCTTTCTCTGTGACTAATTGTTTCCTCAGTTGACTAAGCCAGATACCCAGGACTTATCCTAAACTTCTTTCCTTTCCTTTCTCTCTATACCACATCTAATCAATGATAAAATTCTACCATTCTCCCCCCACCCCCAAACTCCCCAAGTCTAGCCCCTCACCAACTTCAACAGCGCCCTACTCCACTCTTCAGCTCTCTCCTGAACTACCACATCTACCTCACTGAAGCCTAGTTATGCCCCCTCCAATCCATCTTTCTACTACAGGCACAGGAACATGTACAACAGATCCACTCACATCACATATGGCTGCCTCTACCTAAAAGTAAGGTCTGATCCTCCATAGGATATCATGTAAGACCCTAGAGGTCTAAGGCTCTGCCACTTCAACTTCTTTCCCAGTCTTGTATTTTAAACTCCAGGCACAATGAGTTAGTGGTAGCTCTATGCACACTCCATCCTACGTCACACTACTGCAACTCACTCCCACAAAGCCTATCCAGCATCTGGGCTCAGGCCTCTCCTCCAGGAAGTCGATCCTGACCTCTCTGGGCACCTCCCTGGGGCTTCCGTTCTTTTGTCTCTACATTACTGTACTGTATAGAAATTTTATGCTTCTGGACATGTCTGTTATACTGGAACTCCACATACCTTGAAGGCAAGGACACCATCACTGTTGCATCCCCAACGCTATGCGCATAGTAGATTCTCCATATTTGTAGGATATACTGAACTAAAAAGCATCTGGAGTTTTTGAACACCAAGGCCCTTTGAATTTGGCAACAGATGTAATTAAAACACATGCAAATCATAATGAACTGCAGATGACACCAACATTTAAAACATTACACTGTAGCTCTGGAACTGAAGTACCCCCATATAATTAAAAACTACAAGCTGAGGGGTAATACAGTTTATTGAATTAGATTTTTCTATTTACAATTGAGATCACATCTAGATACTATTTTGCTAGCCTACATGGGTACATTATTTCTAACAAGTTTAGACTTACAATAAATGGACTCAATCATACAAACACACACACACACACACACACACACACACACACACTCTCTCACACTCATTGTTTTAAAACAGTGCATACATTATACTCCTTCTATAAAGCCAACTTTGATTAAAAACAGCTAGTTTCAAAGATCAGTCTGATTTTGAAGATGAACCAAAACATACACTGTATGACTCTAAAATCTATTTTAGCCATTTTGTAGAGTTGCTATCTTATTGAACTACAGTATATATCTTTTAAAAGGACACTGACGAGGGGCATCAACTGGTGTTAACTCCTCCTCCTCCCAAAAACCTTTGGCCAGTAGTTGTTCACTGCGAAGCCTGACGGGACCCAGTGGTACTTCAGCAGCAGTCCCATTACTGCTTGGAGGTAACAGAAGCAGGCCACGTTTCCCTTTAATCCTACCACACTATGCAATTTGCAAATGGTTCTGAAACTATAACATATACCACCGTACTTAAAAACTTAGGGACATGGAAAGTCAGCTAGATTAGAGAAAAGAAAATCATAGGTTGGTAGGTAAGTATGTGGCACACGAACAGCTAAGCTGCTCTGTCCAACACCTGTGTACATGTGTTTTAACTAAATGAACTTAGGAGGCCAACAGGAGTAGACCGCTCAATTCACCTTCCAAATCAGAAGACTAAAACGCACAAGCTTGAGTTTTCAACTATGCATATGTTCCACCAGTGATGAGGAGCTCATAAGCAGGATCTCTACTTCTTCTGCACAACACGATGCATGCACACAGCATGCCCAGCAGCTGGGGGAAGAAAACAACAATGGAAAAGAAAGGCTGAAAATAGTCACACAGCAAGTGTATATTTCTTTGTTGGCAATGGAGCTGTTTCAAAGTTCAGTGATCTCAAATCATCAAAAAAGCAATAACAAGAGTAACAGAAGCAATATCTAATGAATACATTGTCTTTCTAGGAACTAAGTACTAAATTTTAGCTTCCCTCACTCACACCTAAAAACAATTTGTGAAGCTAGTAAAGAATCAAGAGGATCTCCTACTGCCACCCCCATTCTCAATCAAGAGCAGTACTGTACAAAAGAACTTACTGCAATGACGGAAACATTCTCAATCTGAGCTGTCAAATATGGTAGCTACTAGCCACTGCAACTAAGGACTTATGTTTTTGGTTTTATTTAATTTAAACTCACATATGTGGCTACTGGTGACCACATTAGACAGTAAAGGTCTAGGAAGTGGAATGATCTAGACTGTCTCACTGAGGAAATTCAATGGTGGTCTTTTCAGGTATATGGATTGGGAAAGGGAGGCTTTCTATCAACCTACAAAATTCAGTACATGGATAGCCCAAAAGCCCTGCTTACTAGTGCAAAGTACCTTAAAGATATTTTAAAAATGGATACTGTTCAAAGTTTACTATCCTAAACATGTTTAATATCTAATTCCTGAAGCAATATACTTCCATTCACTGTACAATAAAACATTCTTGGAAATGCTATAAAGTAAAACACAATTATGTTCCCAAGCAATATTAAATTGAGGAGGAAGAAAAAAAAAAAAAAACCCCAATAAGCTCAATTTACTGATTTGCTGGGAGAAAAAAAATCTCTTATCCCATCATACTTCCCTCACATTCATTCAAGTTGGTTAATGTCTACTGAAGGAGTCAGTATTCTCAAAATGGGATCTGAAATAAATGTCATTTCTTTCCCAACTTTTATTTCCATTAAGTCACCTTGTATTGATTTAAAAACAATTACGTAAGCTTAATAAAACCCTGCTCATGCTTGGGAATGAATCTGTTTAAGAACATTAAACTCTACATAATAAATTATTATAGTTCAAACCTCATCACTAAGTTTTACAGGCCCATTTCCAAAGTTTTGGCTATACTGAAATTTCACTAGTTAATGAAATTTTCCAATAATAGACTTGAAAATATTATATAAATATTTTAGCTCCAGTGTTATTTCTTGCAATGACATTTTCCCCTGCAATATTCAAGTCATGAGGACTAATTTACACTTAGCCCAAATATAACACCCAGCAACTACAAAATATGATTACTAAATACAAGTGGTGATTACAAAAACCATCAAGGATTAAAATGTTCTATGATACACTACGCAGGTGCATTATGGGGTATTGTTACACAAGGTTATTGGAACTGTACACTGGGAACACTCTTTTCTGAGAAAAATTTGGAAGTACCTATCAAAAAGTCACTCATACTCTGGCTCCTTAATTTCATGGCTACAATTTTTGCTATATACGTTGCACGTGCATAGACTATTTACTACTTGCATTTCTATAATAGCAAGACTTACATAAGTGCCTATTTATAGATAGAGCTGATAAATTATAAAGTATGCCCCTAAATGGAATACTACGTGGCTATAGCAAGTGTAATTTGTTTTTAAAAAGCAAGTTCCAAAAGTTACATACCATATGATTCCATTTATATAACATTTTGAAATGACGAAATTTTAGAAAGGGAGGACAGATTAGTGGTTGCCAGGGTAGGGGAGGCAGAGACACAGGAGAGAGGAGAGAGGTGCAGTTAAAAAAGGTCCCAGGTAGGATCCTAACGGTGTTGAAACTGTTCAGTATCTTGATTGGTGGTGGTGGATACAGGAACCCACATAGGTCATAAAATTATATAGAACTGAATACACAGATGTAGACACATGAGATCTGAATAAAACTGGTGGACTGTATCAATACCAATACCCTGATTGTGATATATTGTAGTTGTGCAAAATATTACCACTAAAGGCAACTGGGCAAGGCTCTATTTGTATTATTTCTTAAAACTGCATGTAAATATATAATTATCTCAAATTTTAAAACAGGCAAGGTACAAAATGCATCCTATAAGCTTCTATTTGCATAAGAAATATTTATGTGCTCCTGGAAGGGTATACAGGTATACTGGTAACAGTAGTTGCCTTTGTAAGAGGAATTCAGGAACTGGGGTCAAGGCTGAGAGGGAAGCTTACCTTTTACTAAATCTGTATTACTTGAAAAAAATTTTACCAAATGGGTACTTTAATTTTAAAAACTCCAAAAAGTTAACAATTAAGATTAATTTCCCCCAAAGTAAACAAAACAAAACTAAACAAAATCCCTAACCACTCAAAAATCAGCTTCCAAGCTTTGGTTTAAGTTTTTAAGGAAGAATTACTTGGAATATTTTTTAAAAGTAATCAAGCCAGTCAATTCTATCTGTAGGCCCAATCTGAAATGTTATTTACTTATGTATTTTAACTCATTTTAATAATTAGTAGTCAAGAAGCAGCAGGAGGGAAATGAAATAGCAATCTCAATCTCCTTCACACTTAGCATGTAGAACAGAAAAAAGCAACATGGCCTTGGGAAACAGTTCCCTGAAAGTTTGCTCTCTACCACTCCATCTTGAGAATATGCCAACTTTGTGAGGCTCCAAAGACTGACAATTCCCATTTTTCCCACGTTGCCTGTGCAGAGAGCCCAACTCACAGCAGATACTTAAGAGCTTACCAAATCAAAACCTAGATTTCTTTCTATTATGACCAGATCTTTCAAACATGAAATTCATAATTACTTGTTAATTTAAGAGGCTGGCTACTCTCAAAGAAGTGAAATATCTTGCTGATTAATAAGCTAACAAGATAAGGGGTATAGCTAAATTTTTAAAATCTCATTCTCCTATATTCAAAACACCCTGTTATAATAATTAACTAGTATTTATCGAGTTTTTCTTTCTTGATCATTTTGGTCCTACCCAAACCTAGATCATTTAACTAGACTACAGAAAGGGTCAGCAAATATTTCTTAAAGGGCAACATGGTCAATATTTTAGACTTTGTGAACCAAGAGACAAAATAAGTCTCTGTTACAACTACTCAGCTTTGCCACTGTAACACAAAAGCAGTAATAGACAATATATAAATGAGTGTAGTTCACAGGAAAAGAAGTGGTGAGCTAGAATTGGCCCACACATGGTCAACACCCAAACTAGAGCCTTTAACTGATAAATTAAGCTTATGAGAAAATTCCTTCTTAAAATTCACCTTTCTGCCTTAGAACTTCAATGAAATGCTTACCAGTTAATACCACGAATCACACTCAAAATCAAAGGAGACAATACTTAAGACAGTTTTGATACTCAAAGTCAAACACTACCAAAAATCATTTTTCAATCTTTAACTTATTTAAACTATATTTATATAACTCTTAGAGCTTCCCCGCTTTAGAACCTGAAGGAAAGTGCTAATGATATTTCAATGCTATCCTACTGTATATTTTATTAGCCAGCTGAACTGTCAATAACTGTCAGGTTTTATAATAGAATTTAGAAATTTAATCTTTTGAGAATCTTAATTCTTCAATTTATAATTGGAGGCAAAGTACAATGGAGCCATGGTTCAAGTTTTAGTGATGGTCATAAGTCATATTATCCTCGTTCTCCCTTATTTTCATGGCCTTTAAAGCAAAAGGAACAGGAACTGGAGAATCTCCATGTCCTTCTAGATCTAACTTTCTCTATCAGGATGGGTATACAAGCACAAGAGCTCACTGATCTTTGAATTGTTTCTACCTTTGCTAAGGTTTTCCACACCCAGGGTAAACTGGGCACATTAGATTTTGAATATCAAAAGTTTAGAACGTTTATAGGTACTCTTTAAAAAAAGAGAAAACATAAGGGGAACTTTTATTATTTTAAATGAATGGGTTTTCCTTAGAACCAGTTTTTAAATTTTCAAAGCTTCTAGAGGTTTGAGTCTGAATCCCCGACTCAGTTTTGCTGAACTGAAAACATCAAATCTTTATCAACTATGACATAAGTCAGGATGATTTAAATATAAAATGCATATGAGAATGCATGCTTAAGAGAGTTGTTAGAACATTTATTAGCCCCCACTAAAAAAGTTAAAGAAGAAATACCTGGCTGGTTAATAAGCTTAACTAGATGATGGAACATAGCTAAAGGGACAACTTTCATCAGTCTTCTACATATGTATTACATATTTCATGATCAAAACCACCATACAGTTCCAAAGTTTTCTTTGCTACATGCTAATATGTGCAGCTTTATTACCATACAGAAAATCATTAAGAATGCACAGATCAAGATTTTACTTGGGAAAAGCTTTCATGTTTCATTATTTTTAACAAAATGAATGTGTCTGCATAATCAAAATATGAAATACATTCC